TCTTACTCATTTCATATGCATGTTTATGCTTTCATATGTTCTCAGCTGAATCATAAAATGTTTGACAGTTTCTAGGGTTGCTGCCCTCTAGTGGTACCTCCTCAAACTGAACTAAAACTAAGTTATCTAGTAAAGCTTGGTTGGATAAACTGTACACATGCTATTCAAATCACAATAAAGTATAGTTGTACTCCTAAACTGTTTTGTTTGTGTCTCGCTCTTTCTCTGGTATTCTGTCTCTTTCCTCTTCAGCAAAGCATGCGTGAGAATAAAGAGAAACAAGCTCTGGGTGATCTGATGATAAAGCCAGTACAGCGGATCCCACGATACGAGCTGCTAGTTAAGGTGACACTAACCTTCCTATTTTATTTCTGCCTTTTTGTGCCTGTTCGTTTTTATTGATAACATGTCTTTTAATTAGGGATGCACCAATGTATCGGCCGCCGATATTTTTTTTTTTATCCATGCTGAAACGTTTTTAAATATCTTGAAAATATTCTTTAATGTTTTTAATGCATTGACCGTTTTTTATTTTGTTTAATACATTTGTCTTTGGCAAATCTAGAAAAGATGATGCTGTATTGGCTATGACTAAGGGAGATCATTCAAGACTCTCTTCATGATTTTTTTTTCTTTTTGAGTAAATTAAACGCTGTACTATTATTATTATTATTATTATTATTGGCAAAGAAAAAGTTTAAAAAATAACATTATTAACCGGTATGTTTTCTGCTCAAAGGTTTTTAAGCCCTGCTTTATGCAATTGAGCAATATCGGTATCGGAATCGGCCAATAGTTCTTTTTTAAAATCGGTATCAGTATCGGCCAAAAGAAAATCCTATCGGTGCATCCCTACTTTTAATGTATTTGGACTGGTTTGGAACACATCAGGCAGGGCTGAATGATTAATTGAAATATAATCGAAAATGCAATATGACTTAGAATTACCAAATTGCAAAGACTGCATTTTATTTAAACATGCGCAGCGTGTTTGTAGCTGTGTAAATTCACAGGCTTGTAGCTTTTGAAAACAGTGACTTCAGTGGCTCGGGGTTCGCAGTATATGCATCCTTTCAGTCTCTGCATCGTGTCACTTATAATGTTCACTTTGGAATAAAACATGTGCCATCCATTTCAACACATTTGTAATGAGAAACATTTATAATCCTAACTTTGGCAGATTTGCCCCTAAATAAAATCTCAAAGATTTAATGTTTGAAATTAGGACATAAATTTTAGCATTGTAATGTTACTGTTGTATTGTAATTTTTGTATTATTTAATACTCTTTTTATTTAATAATAATAGTAGTAGTAATAATAATAATATTTATTATTATTATTTATTATACTATTGTTAGAGTACTGGCAGAGTAAAAAATAATAGTTTTATTTTACACACAAGTACAGCAAACCTGGAGCTCTTTAAAAAAAAAAAAATCATTTTAAATCACAAACTCAATTTTTATCAAAAAAATGCAATTTTATTTTTCTTAAAACATTCAGCCCTGTATGTTTTGTATGTGACCACCATTTAGCAACTAGTTAAAATCCTTAATATTTACTCATCTGGTTTGTTAATGTTAAGGACAAAAAAATGCTTAAATTAATTGTCATTCTGCTATAATATACAGTCCTTGAATCTCTAGGACTGAAACGATCCATTTTATAAGTGTCTTTTTAGGTACTAGCTGTAATTTTGGTAGTTTAGTTTTTAAATGACACATTGTTTGTATGGATCAGGATCTTCTGAAGCACACTACTGAAGATCACCCTGACTACCTGTTTCTGCTGGACGCCCAGAAGAACATCAAGCGATTGGCTGAGAGGATCAACAAGGGCCGGCGCACCGCGGAGGAGCTGGAGAGAGAGACGCGCGTCATGCAGGAGATCGAGGCGCACATCGAGGGCGTGGAGCATGTGAGAGATCACTCAAAATCACTCATCCAGTTTATTAACTGAAGTGATTAAAACTTGGTTTTAAATCCATTTTTCTTTCTTTTATGATTTTTCTAAGATGAATTTTTTCATAGGTTCTAATATATAAATTAAACCTTTAAATTGCTTTTAATTTTTTTTTTTTTTCAGAAAACAAGACTTAATATTTTACATCTGATGTTTAGATATTTGTACTGGTGAAAAAGACAAAAATACTGAGTAAGAAAATAATTTTTGCAGTGTATTTACAGTTTTTATTGTGAAATCTGTTTAATGCTGTGTAAATGTGTTAATATGTTAAATATTTTAACTACATTTTTATTTCTTATGCATCTTTTGTTTTTTAAAAATCCCTTTAATGTAAAGCACTTTAAATTACCATCATAAATGAAAAGTACTATATAAATACATTTCCCTTGCCATAAGATATCAAGTCTTGTTTTGTGAAAAATTTATCAAAATTAAGTAAATCTTTGCTATAAAAAACAAAACAAAATTTTCAATCTGTCAACTGAAAAGTAATCTTTTTTTTTCAGTGCATTTACAGTTTTGGTTGCAAATCGTTTCACATTGATTAAATATGTTTAATAATGTATTATCTAATATAATAAAGTTATTAGATATAATAACTATATCTAATAATGTTTTTTTCCCCCCCGTCAGATCCTGAATCCACAGAGGACGTTTCTAAGACAAGAGATGGTGGTGGAAGCGGTGAGCACAAATAAACACAAGAAATCAAGTCACTTTAAGCCAACGTATGAGCTTCCTAAACCTCTGTCCATCTCTGCAGAAAACGGTGGGCGGTAAGAAGGACCGGTCTCTGTTTCTGTTCAGCGATCTGCTCATCTGCACCACGCTGAAGAGAAAGTCTGGATCTCTGCGCAGGAGCTCCATGAGTCTGTGAGTGCGGCTGCGCGTTCGCAGTTTTCTTTTAATAGTGCAGAGATGTGAGGAGGGCCTGGGAAAACTCATGTTTGGTTTAGAAACCCCCCAGAGTCCCCTGAGCTCTTCTGCACCTGATGGCCAAAATAAATGCATTTCATTTCTGAATAACACTGCACTCTAGTGGACTGTCATGGAAACACCACATAAATAATCTTATTTAGCATGCGCTTTCATCTAAAGTGATTCCCAGGACACTTATTTCTGGGACATCAATCAAAATAAAGAAATGCATCACGTTACAGAAGAAAAATGCACTGTAGATGCTCATTCATTCAGTTCAACGGTGATCTTTCATGATTAACCCTCACCACATTTGAACCAGCAAACTATCAGATATCAACGCTTTCATCTAAAGTGATTCCCAGGACACTTATTTCTGGGACATCAATCAAAATAAAGAAATGCATCACGTTACAGAAGAAAAATGCACTGTAGATGCTCATTCATGAGTTCAACGGTGATCTTTCATGATTAACCCTCACCACATTTGAACCAGCAAACTATCAGATATCAGAATAGATCATTAATTACTAGCGCACATCAACCCATGCTAGAAAAAATCCTCGACTGATGATTGAATTCTCTCTCTGCTTCTCTTTCAGATACGCCGCTGCTAGTGTCATTGACACCTCGAGTAAATATAAGTTCCTGTGGAAACTGCCCTTAGAAGACATTGAGGTGGTTAAAGGTAGTGTTATTATCTCACACAATCAGTATGACATGATTTACATGATTGCCATGTTTTTATTTATATATATATATATGCTCTTAAAAGTTCAGCTTCACAGTGAGACAGAAACCTGAGGTCTTCTTTCAAATGTGGAGCCCTTTCCTGGGTTACTTTAGGAAGACAAAATGTCCTAGAGTTATCTATACCTTTTCTATCTATCTATCTATCTATCTATCTATCTATCTATCTATCTATCTATCTATCTATCTATCTATTTATTTATTTACCCCTTTTATATTCCTTTCCATTACACTTAGTTGAACTTTGATGCTCTTTTACTGACCCATTATAATTTCTTCATCACAGGCTCTAATCAAGCCACTAACAGAGAAACCATCCAGAAACTGGGTTACTTTAGGAAGACAAAATGTCCTAGAGTTATCTATACCTTTTCTATCTATCTATCTATCTATCTATCTATCTATCTATCTATCTATTTATTTATTTACCCCTTTTATATTCCTTTCCATTACACTTAGTTGAACTTTGATGCTCTTTTACTGACCCAATATAATTTCTTCATCACAGGCTCTAATCAAGCCACTAACAGAGAAACCATCCAGAAAACCATCAGCCGTCTGGATGAAGATCTCAGCACGCTTGGCCAAATAAGCAAACTGTCAGAAACACTCAGTTTCCCTCATCAGGTCTGTCTACCTTTATGAACTGTGTTTACCTTTAGTGTGGAATACTTATAATCAGTTTCACTTTTACAGGTTGTTTTATGGAGGATTATGTACCTGTTCTGATTGGTTGTAGACAGGGGGGGGGGGTTGTGCAAAAAATAAATAAACTGCAACCATGCAACTTAACGAGACTTATCATGTTAACGAGAAAAGATAACATGTTTTTTTTTTTGCTGTTGACTTAAAAGCTTGTGCCAGTCAGACTTGATTTGCCTCTTCCTTGGAATAGCTGAGATATTCTGAAGTGTTTTTGTGTGTGTGTGTGTGTGTGTGTGTGTGTGTGTTAGAGTTTGGACGATGTGATAAAGGATCTGATGGCGTCGGTTCACCGGGAGCTGGCCGAGAAGCAGTCTCTGGCCTTCAGCATGACGTTACTGCCCACTAAATTAGAGCTGACCAGCACTTCAGCAGAGACCACCTTCATCTTTGAGTTCAGCAGCCCTGACACCCGCAGTAACTTCGAGCAGGCCTTTGAGGAGGCCAAGAAGAAGCTTGGTAAATCCTCAGAGCTGACCCTCTGTTTCTGTTTTAAATAATGTACAGCGATCTGAGAGAAATTTATATCAAATCATTACTTTCCTCCAGAGAAAAGAGGGGAAATTATTATTTTCTCTTACAAACTTTGTGTTGACATTTAGCAAACTAGTTAATAAAATGGTGTACACTACAGAGTAACCACTGTATATACACAATACAGCATTGTTTTAGTATTATTTATTGTATTTAATATATACTGTATGTAAAAAAATATATATAATTTATAATTAATATAATCAACTACTATAATATAAATAATACAAAAATAGCATATACAGTAATACAGTATGTATTTTTTTCTATATAAATTCTTTTTTTATAAAACTTTCTATACTATATACTGTAAATTCTTTGCGAATTTATATAGTATTTGTTAGGCTTTTCACGGAAAGATACAATATATATTTGTGACCGTGGACCACAAAACCAGTCATAAGTGTCTATTTTTCAAAATAGAGATTTGTGTATCATCTGAAAGCTGAATAAATAAGCTTTCCTTTGATGTATGATTTGATGTATGGTTTGTTAGGATAGGACAATATTTGGCTGAGATGCAACTATTTGAAAATCTGTAATCTGAAAAATATATATATATATTGAGAAAATCGCCTTTAAAGTTGTCCAAATGAAGTTCTTAGCAATGCATATTACTAATCAAAAATTAAGTTTGAATATATTTACGGTAGGAAATGTACAAAATATCTTCATGGAACATAAAAGATGAATCGATATAAAGCATAAAAGAAAAATCGATAATTTTGACCCATACAATGTATTTTTGGCTATTGCTACAAATATACAGTACCTGTGCTACTTATGACTGATTTTGTGCTCCAGGGTCACATTTAGGCATAGCCCAAGAAATACTCCCCATATTCATGCAAAATTCAATAAATACAGCATATATTTTTGTATATATTCAATGCAAATGCCAATACCGCACAATATTCTTTACAACACCCAAGAAATAGTGCCTACATTCATGAGAAAGCCAATAAATCTTTTATATAGTATATTAATGATGTATACTTCATATTCACATTAGCCCAACAAATATGGGGTGTACATTAATAGAAAAGACAAATATGCTATATATTGATGACAATCCCTACATTTTCATCAAAAGCACCCTGTTTTCCATGTTTTGTCCAGCCATGAACAAAGACCAGTGGGACCCTGAGTTCCTGAAGGCCATTCCCATCATGAAGACCCGCAGCGGGATGCAGTTCTCCTGCGCCTCCCCCAGTCACAGCTGTCCAGAGAACACGTATGAGGTGTGGGTGTGTAACAGCGACGGGTACGTGGGTCAGGTGTGTCTGCTGAACATCCGGGACGAGCCCACGGTGGAGGCCTGCATCGCCGTCTGCTCCGCTCGCATCATCTGCATCGCAGCCGTGCCGGGCCTGAAGAACAGGTGAGACCGACGGCCCTAAACACACCTGCTTAACAGGACAAATTCTCCTGTTTAAGACTAATAATAAATGAGCACCATGAGATTACAGTATATGTGGGAATTTCCAGGGATCAGGAGAGATCTCAGCAGGGACACTAATTTCAACATCCTTCAATGTATTTGAATTCTGTACAATTTTGCAGCATCATTTTCTTTTTTTACTGTGTAACTATAAGCTATAAACCCTTCAGTTTTGCCTGCTCGATTTATAAGTGCATTTAAAAACATATATGAATATAATACATTTTTTTTAATAAAAAAAAACAAACAAACAATAAAAAGACCTATAACACTAGCTTTCTCTGTTCTTTTATTATTCTATCTGATTTCTTTTATTCTATTATATAATTTAAAAAAACCTTGCTACGTGTACTGCGTTAGGCTAACTGAGACTTGTTATAGCACTTGTATATCATTGCTCTTTTGTTGATTCTGATTGCTTCCATTGTCCTCATTTGTAAGTCACTTTAGATAAAAGCGTCTGCTAAATGACTAAATAATACTTTATTATATTAATTAATATTATATTATTATATTTTATATTTTATTTAGCTTTTGTCAAGTTTTATATTTATATATATATATTCTTTAATTTGATGCTTTCTTTTTACTTCCGTTTTAATTCTATTCATGAGTAACCGTTTTAGTAACTTTTAATTTATTTTTCAGTTTAGGTTTAGTATTTCAACTTCAAAGTATTTAATTTAATTGGTTGCCAAGTTTAAGTTCTTCATCTAATATTTATATTTTATTTTATTTCAGCTTAATTTCAATTACCAAAAACTATTTTAATAGTTTTATTTTAGTGTGTGTGTGTGTGTGTGTGTGTGTGTATTATATATTGTTTGTGGTAATCTACAACATGAAATACACCCGTTATTAGGTTTAAAATATCCTGGAATATACCTTTTAAAACAGACTTTATGTGCTTTTGTGAAGGTTTTATTTATTTATTTATCTGTTTTGTTTTTATTGCTAATTTATTTTAGTTATTTGCCGAGTTTATGTGTGTATATATATATATAAAATGTTAATTTAAATGATTTTGCCTTTTAAAACAGGTTCAACTCAATAGCAGTGTAGTATGCTGTGTTCTAGTAATTTTTTATGCATATAAGCAGTTTGCAAGTGCAAAAATGTCCAATCTGTCTACTGCAGAGAACGTGTGGGTCATTCCACCCCCTCTGCCCCGTCTGAGTCAAACCCTGCAGCGTCTGCACAACCCCAGCTCCACATCTGCATCTCCGGCTCATCTCTGGAGCTCAGCAAGCCGCCCGCGGTCCCCGCCGCAGAGCTCGTGCCCTTCGATAGCGACGACACCGATGATGAAGACTCTCCAAGCCCTTCATCCACACTGCAGAGCCAAGCCTCCCATTCCACCATCTCATCCAGCTTCGGCAGTGAGTCTCTAAAATCATATATTTGATGTATGGTTTGTTAGGATAGGACAATATTTGGCAAATATTTAACTATTTGAAAATCTGTAATCTGAAAAATATATATATATATTGAGAAAATCGCCTTTAAAGTTGTCCAAATGAAGTTCTTAGCAATGCATATTACTAATCAAAAATTAAGTTTGAATATATTTACGGTAGGAAATGTACAAAATATCTTCATGGAACATAAAAGATGAATCGATATAAAGCATAAAAGAAAAATCGATAATTTTGACCCATACAATGTATTTTTGGCTATTGCTACAAATATACAGTACCTGTGCTACTTATGACTGATTTTGTGCTCCAGGGTCACATTTAGGCATAGCCCAAGAAATACTCCCCATATTCATGCAAAATTCAATAAATACAGCATATATTTTTGTATATATTCAATGCAAATGCCAATACCGCACAATATTCTTTACAACACCCAAGAAATAGTGCCTACATTCATGAGAAAGCCAATAAATCTTTTATATAGTATATTAATGATGTATAATTCATATTCACATTAGCCCAACAAATATGGGGTGTACATTAATAGAAAAGACAAATATGCTATATATTGATGACAATCCCTACATTTTCATCAAAAGCACCCTGTTTTCCATGTTTTGTCCAGCCATGAACAAAGACCAGTGGGACCCTGAGTTCCTGAAGGCCATTCCCATCATGAAGACCCGCAGCGGGATGCAGTTCTCCTGCGCCTCCCCCAGTCACAGCTGTCCAGAGAACACGTATGAGGTGTGGGTGTGTAACAGCGACGGGTACGTGGGTCAGGTGTGTCTGCTGAACATCCGGGACGAGCCCACGGTGGAGGCCTGCATCGCCGTCTGCTCCGCTCGCATCATCTGCATCGCAGCCGTGCCGGGCCTGAAGAACAGGTGAGACCGACGGCCCTAAACGCACCTGCTTAACAGGACAAATTCTCCTGTTTAAGACTAATAATAAATGAGCACCATGAGATTACAGTATATGTGGGAATTTCCAGGGATCAGGAGAGATCTCAGCAGGGACACTAATTTCAACATCCTTCAATGTATTTGAATTCTGTACAATTTTGCAGCATCATTTTCTTTTTTTACTGTGTAACTATAAGCTATAAACCCTTCAGTTTTGCCTGCTCGATTTATAAGTGCATTTAAAAACATATATGAATATAATACATTTTTTTTAATAAAAAAAAACAAACAAACAATAAAAAGACCTATAACACTAGCTTTCTCTGTTCTTTTATTATTCTATCTGATTTCTTTTATTCTATTATATAATTTAAAAAAACCTTGCTACGTGTACTGCGTTAGGCTAACTGAGACTTGTTATAGCACTTGTATATCATTGCTCTTTTGTTGATTCTGATTGCTTCCATTGTCCTCATTTGTAAGTCACTTTAGATAAAAGCGTCTGCTAAATGACTAAATAATACTTTATTATATTAATTAATATTATATTATTATATTTTATATTTTATTTAGCTTTTGTCAAGTTTTATATTTATATATATATATTCTTTAATTTGATGCTTTCTTTTTACTTCAGTTTTAATTCTATTCATGAGTAACCGTTTTAGTAACTTTTAATTTATTTTTCAGTTTAGGTTTAGTATTTCAACTTCAAAGTATTTAATTTAATTGGTTGCCAAGTTTAAGTTCTTCATCTAATATTTATATTTTATTTTATTTCAGCTTAATTTCAATTACCAAAAACTATTTTAATAGTTTTATTTTAGTGTGTGTGTGTGTGTGTGTGTGTGTATTATATATTGTTTGTGGTAATCTACAACATGAAATACACCCGTTATTAGGTTTAAAATATCCTGGAATATACCTTTTAAAACAGACTTTATGTGCTTTTGTGAAGGTTTTATTTATTTATTTATCTGTTTTGTTTTTATTGCTAATTTATTTTAGTTATTTGCCGAGTTTATGTGTGTATATATATATATAAAATGTTAATTTAAATGATTTTGCCTTTTAAAACAGGTTCAACTCAATAGCAGTGTAGTATGCTGTGTTCTAGTAATTTTTTATGCATATAAGCAGTTTGCAAGTGCAAAAATGTCCAATCTGTCTACTGCAGAGAACGTGTGGGTCATTCCACCCCCTCTGCCCCGTCTGAGTCAAACCCTGCAGCGTCTGCACAACCCCAGCTCCACATCTGCATCTCCGGCTCATCTCTGGAGCTCAGCAAGCCGCCCGCGGTCCCCGCCGCAGAGCTCGTGCCCTTCGATAGCGACGACACCGATGATGAAGACTCTCCCAGCCCTTCATCCACACTGCAGAGCCAAGCCTCCCATTCCACCATCTCATCCAGCTTCGGCAGTGAGTCTCTAAAATCATATATACTCGCTCATGTTTGTGATCAGTGTCTTATTGATGATGTTTTGTATTTATTTGTTTCTCTCAGATGATGAAGCAGCCGTTTCAAAGGACATGGCCATCGAGACCACGAGCTCCGAGGAGGAACAGGAATTTCCCGTCCCGAGCACATTCGGGGCCCCTCGGCTCAGTGCGGACAGTCCCGTGGATGGCCGAGCCATGCGGCGGTCCAGTCGAGGCTCCTTCACCCGGGCCAGTCTGGAGGACCTGCTGAGCATCGACCCCGAGGCGTATCAGAGCTCTGTCTGGCTCGGGACCGAGGACGGCTGGTGGGTCACTGCATGACAGAATAAATAACTTCTGTAATGGTAGGGCAGTACTTATTATTATTAGGGACGGTATTATTTAGTTTTTGTATTACTTATATGTATATGTTTTAGTTTTCATAATTTTTTTCACTTTAATTTTGTTTTTATTTTAGTTTTAGATTTAGTAAATGTAGAACTTAAACTTCAGTTTCTAATTTTTTTAAGATCTAGTTTAGGTTTTAAGAGAATAAACATTTACATAACATTTAACTTCTGCAATGCTATGTAGGGAACTGTTTGATTTGGTCTAACAGGATGTGATTGTATCTTTAAAAGTAGGCTGTGATATTATTAGTTATTATTATCTTCACTGCCCAACTGGCCATGATTATATCAGCATAAACCAAAAAAAAAAAAAATTATCATTTGAAACAAAGTCTTTATTTATTTTTTTTTGCGTCATGTCGCGAATCCATTTCTCTTTCAGGTCAGAAGCAGCATGAATGCTTGGAGTATGTGAAAAATAGAACGGGACATCAGTTTACTGTCGGGGATTTGTTGTCAATCCGTGCCGTAGACAGAATCGCTGATTATAATGGGCTCTGTTGTCTATAGTCACGTTGCGCCGCTCGCGTCCTGTGTAAACATGGGGTAATATTAGGAAAGAGCTCAAGATCGCATCAGTGAAACACTGTTTGTTTGCTTTACTTTGCTGCAGATTCATTTTTAAACAAGACATTATGATGCAGGTTTTAGTAAACGATGATGCAGTGCTGAGTCTGACTATAGAGAGTAATGTCGCACCACATAAGTGTGAGTAAACATGTTTTTAGTCAAGTCACCTTTATTTATATAGTGCTTTATACAATACAGATTGTGTCAAAGCAGCTTTTCAGTGTCAAACAGAAAAATAGTTTCAATAATGCAAGAGGACAATAAAAAAGTCATTTTTGTTGATATATTTTACCACTATTTCATTGTCTGTTCCAGACCATTTGATATATACAGAGTATTTATACGTTTTAAACCCAAATGACCCATGCAGAGTATGTCACAGCAGTGTCCATCTGTTATTTTAATAAGCAAAACTGGTAGCCAATCATAGCAGGAGGCGTTTACTTGTGAGTCTTGAATGCAACCGCCTATAAAAACAGACCTTCTGCGGAGAGGCTCAAAAACAGGATAGAAAGTAGCCTATTACTTCTAAATTATGTTTTATATATATATACTATATACACACACACTAACATTATAAAATGATTTAAAAAATGTAGTTCATGAACCTTTTAATATAACAACATATAATAATAAAAACTATTAAAAAGCTTATATGGGGCTAAGTAATGTATACAAAGAAAATACATTATATATTAGATATTTGTAAAAACATTTAAAAAAATACTGAAAATCATTCAAAAATGAACATTTCATTTTCATGAAAGTTCTGACTATTTGAATGTAAAATTAATGATCTGTTAAATAATGACAATGTTTGTTAATGTAATTATTGGTAGTTATTATAAGTGTTCAAACTTGTGTTTAGGCAGCACTCAAAGCCCATGGGCCGAATTAAAAGTCGAACGATAGTAGGACACAATGACGTAATGGCATTTAACTGCACAAAACACCCACCTGCTGTTCCTTCTGTTTGGAGTTTAATTCTCACCTCAGGTGACCCTGATCTGACTACAGTACACCCGTTTACCGCGTTCCCACAGAGACACTCGTTATCTCAAGCTCAGACCTGCCCGTGTCCTCAGTGCATCCTGTCACTTTCCACACAAACATTTGCTCTCTCTCTCTCTCTCTCTCTCTCTCTCTCTTTGCGTCACACAAGCAGGTGTGGAGCATTTGTTCTTGCCTCACTGCCAGTTGAAAGTCAAAACAAACAAAAAACAGTCCGATGGCTTAGAGAGCATTTGACTTGATGCCTGTATATATAATGTATTTTAATTCCTAATAATATCAGCATATTAGAATGATTTCTGAAGGATCTTGTGACTCTGAAGACTGGAGTAATGATGCTGGAAATTCCACATTTCGTCACAGGAATAAATTACCGAATTAAAAGTCGAACGATAGTAGCACACAATGACGTAATGGCATTTAACTGCACAAAACACCCACCTGCTGTTCCTTCTGTTTGGAGTTTAATTCTCACCTCAGGTGACCCTGATCTGACTACAGTACACCCGTTTACTGCGTTCCCACAGAGACACTCGTTATCTCAAGCTCAGACCTGCCCGTGTCCTCAGTGCATCCTGTCACTTTCCACACAAACATTTGCTCTCTCTCTCTCTCTCTCTCTCTCTCTCTCTTTGCGTCACACAAGCAGGTGTGGAGCATTTGTTCTTGCCTCACTGCCAGTTGAAAGTCAAAACAAACAAAAAACAGTCCGATGGCTTAGAGAGCATTTGACTTGATGCCTGTATATATAATGTATTTTAATTCCTAATAATATCAGCATATTAGAATGATTTCTGAAGGATCTTGTGACTCTGAAGACTGGAGTAATGATGCTGAAAATTCCACATTTCGTCACAGGAATAAATTACAATATATTTGAAAACATGGAAAACGTTTGTTTTAATTGATTTTACTTTATTTTCAATCAAATACTTGCCGCCTTGGTGAGCATTAGAGACTTTCAAAAATATAAAAAATTGACCCCAAACTTTTCAACATAAGTTTGTGATTCCCAGTAAACGCCTAAGGACATAAATGTCATATTTCATAAGTATAATCATGTTGTTTTCTTTCAGTATTCATGTGTACCAGTCGTCAGACAACATCAGAAACAGGAAGAACAGTATGAAGATGCAGCACTCTGCTTCTATCCTGTGTATCCTGTAAGCAGCTTCCGCCTCATTGATCTGTTGCCATGGTAACTTACGCAACGTCGGCATGGAGACTGAACATCTTTTTTTCATTCCCAGGTATCTTGACAACAAAGTGTTTGTGTCCCTGGCGAACGGGGAGGTGATTGTTTATCAGAGGGAGGCAGGTGAGCTCAGATCCATTCCAAATGATTCAGTTATAACCGATAAGAGTGATTTACACTGACTCTCTCTGCTTTTTCTACATAACAGGAAGTTTCTGGGATCCTCAGAGCTCTCAAACGCTGTGTCTGGGCGCTCCAACTGGACCCGTGACCAAAATGGTTCCTGTTGCGGGAAAACTGTGGTGTGGCTGTCAGAACCGAGTCCTCATCATCAACACCAGCAAAAATCTGTCATTTTCTGTTTGGATGCAGTAAAACACCCACAGATATTGCAGAAAACATCTGGCTCAAGTTTGCATTTTCTTCTGTCACTGGCCATAATTCTGACCTTGAAATCAGCGTTATGCATTCATGTGAAAATGGGCTGAGCATTAAACAAATCGTAATCTGGCTCAGATTCAGACAGGAATCATGTGTTTGTGGCAGTTTTTCTACTTATTAAGTAATAATATAAGACTTCACTGCACAAATGGTTGTCGAAAACAAAAATGCTACAAAATCTTTTGAGAAAATCTGACGTGCTTGAGCAAAACAGATGCTATTTTTGGAATCAGCACCTCAAAATTATTAAGAAACAAGTATTGGATTTTATTCAACAAATATGATGCAAAGCGGCATTATGGTTTTTATCTGCTGGATGATAAAAACAAGTCAAAAAAGCACAAAAACAGATCAATAGGGCTTCAAATGTGGATTGTTAGAGCTAATTTTATACAGGGTTATTACCATTAATTAAAACAAATTGTGTGAGTTATATAAAAAAAAATGAATAAAATAAAACTTTTAGCCATTGAAAAAACTATATATTAAAAAAAAAATTATAATAAAAAGGACAAAAACACAACAGAATTACTAAACCTTTAAAATAAAACTAACTAAAAATATCAATAAATACTATAATAGTATACAAATAATACTAACACTGTGTGTGTGTGTGTGTGCACGTAGGTCTTAGCAGGTTACACTTTTCAGTAAAAATGCTTGTTATTTGAGCTATAATAGTATATCAACTATACTAAAATAGCACTGCTTTTTAATGAAGAACTGTTTCAGAATCAAATCAAATCCCCGTCTCATTTTTTTTTTTCTTTCAGGCTCTGATGCCATTATCCGGCAGCACAAAGCAGCATGTTTGCGGATCACAGCTCTTCTGGCGTGTAAGGACCTGCTGTGGATCGGCACCAGTGCAGGGGTGGTCCTGACTCTGGCCATCCCGCCCGTGTCCTCCAGCACTGGGCCGGGCTCTCTGCGGGCTCCCCTCCTCCCCATGGGCTCCGCCCACGGACACACCGGACACGTCCGCTTTTGTGTGTGTGTGCACGTAGGTCTTAGCAGGTTACACTTTTCAGTAAAAATGCTTGTTATTTGAGCTATAATAGTATATCAACTATACTAAAATAGCACTGCTTTTTAATGAAGAACTGTTTCAGAATCAAATCAAATCCCCGTCTCATTTTTTTCTTTCTTTTAGGCTCTGATGCCATTATCCGGCAGCACAAAGCAGCATGTTTGCGGATCACAGCTCTTCTGGCGTGTAAGGACCTGCTGTGGATCGGCACCAGTGCAGGGGTGGTCCTGACTCTGGCCATCCCGCCCGTGTCCTCCAGCACTGGGCCGGGCTCTCTGCGGGCTCCCCTCCTCCCCATGGGCTCCGCCCACGGACACACCGGACACGTCCGCTTTCTCACGTGCATTGAGCTGCCAGAGGGCTTTGACGTCAACTTCCCACCACCGTCCGAATCCGGTAAGTTTCTCACTGCCTGTTGCAGTGTGGGTAATATTAACAGAGGATCTGGCAACAAAATGGCAAAGTGCATTATGGAAATACAGAAACCTGCAGACATTGATCTGTTCTATGTGTTTTTTTATTTGGAGTATTAGGAGTTCAGTGCGACTTAAACTGTTCTCTTCAGTGTCAATAATGTGTTGTAATTTTATTTGTAATTTGTTCATACAATTTCAATTTTTTATGTAGCAGTATATTTTAAAAACTGACCATATTACACTGCACTATACTGTATATAATAATGAAGTGCATTATGGAAATACAGAAACCTGCAGACATTGATCTGTTCTATGTGTTTTTTTATTTGGAGTATTAGGAGTTCAGTGCGACTTAAACTGTTCTCTTCAGTGTCAATAATGTGTTGTAATTTTATTTGTAATTTGTTCATACAATTTAAATTTTTTATGTAGCAGTTTAAAAACTGACCATATTACACTGCACTATACTGTATATAATAATATTAAAATAATAATAAAAAATTAATTCTATAAATGTTATGGGATTCATAAAAACACAAACACATGGTTAATGATAATAGTAATTCAATAAATAATTGAAGATTTTTTTTTACAAATATTATGGTATTCATAAATAATGTGATTATGGCCCTGCAATTCAATATCACATTTTTAATTGAATTTAAATTCAGCTTTAAAAAACATGTAATTAGTACTTTTTTTTTCTTTGTTTTTTAATGTGAGCTTAAATGTACCTTGTTATTCTTTCTTTTGTTTAACTCATGTTTTTATAGTAATTGTTTGGCAAGGAATTTATTTTTGTATAAAAGGAAGATTAATAAAAAAAAAACAAGTCTAGCTAATACACACGTTATATATTATTATAAAACTTTGTGTGTTGTGGTATTAAAAAAAACACCCAATTATGGCCCTGCAAAAGAGTATCAAATATTTAATTTGATTTTAATTTAATTTAGCCATCTCAAATAGTCAGTGCCAAGACAAGTGTAAACTGGTTCAGAACATTTTGCCATCACGTCACACAAACCGTTTACAAAGGTCAGGAACATATGCGATCGTTTCATTTGCAGTGTAAACATTAATGCATCCTGATGCATCCCAAACAACAGAAAAAAACGCCTTCTCACCTTTCAATCAACCACTTGTGTGTTTTAAAAACGAGTGTTTTAAACTTGCCTGATTAATGCTTGTGATTGGATGCTTCCAAGACGAATGTCTATAAATAGAGGCTATCAATAAAATCTGGCACAGTGACATCGGTTAACAAATATGTGTGTGTGTCCTGAATTTCTATTATAGTGAACTCCGCACAGAACAGCTCTGAGAGCAGCAGCGGAGGCCTGCAGAGACGAGACTCCTCCCGGCGGCGCGCCTCCACCCTCCTGCCCACCAAATCCAACCTGCTGGTCATCAGCGGCGGCGACGGCTATGAAGACTTCAGACTGACCAATAGCAGCGAGACGGTGGGGAGGGACGACAGCACCAACCACTTACTGCTGTGGCGCGTGTAGCAGAAGCCCCGCCCCCTCGACACACTTCCCCCCACGAAACCCCGCCCCTTCCTGTTCTCTGATGCGTTGTGCACGAGCATGTAAGACGTCAACCAATGGGGTGTTTGTTTTTCGTTCCGTTGTGTTATGGGTCATTTCGTTTCTCGGTGTAAAATATCTCGATCTCGCTTGCCATGTGGTGTTTCCTGTGGCTGCTTTTGAATATTGTGTTGAAACTTAAAAAAACCAAGCGGACGAAACGATCATTACCTTGAAGAAGAAAAGAGAAAAAGCAGGAAAAGGTGAAGTAAAAAAGAAAGGAACAAGTATTGTTGGATAGAGAGTGGGTTTGAATGCATCGCACGAGGCCGGGAGGATTGTGGGTAATGTGGATGGACGTACAAAGTGGAAAGACGAGTTTTTCATCCTTCGATTCGTCAGTCCGCACACTACTGGTCTTGACAGACTGTGATTTCATTGGAGAATGAAGATGTTTTTGTTAAAGCTCTCGTTTGTGGTGTTCGGGGCGAGATGAGAGTTAATCTTACGTAACCAATGTGCAATATAAGGCTAGAGTACCCGCGAACCGCTATATGACACACACACTTTACTACTTCAGTAATCAACAAACTCACAGTCAGAGTTATTACACATTATAACATTATTCTTTTGGTTATCGAATCATCTTTATGTATAAAAAAAAATAAGACTTCACTATGTTATGTGAAAGAACAGCAATGACATTCCATATATAGGTATTGTGACAAAAAACCTTTTGTACAGTATTTATGTTTTTTCATTTTTAGTTAAGTCTTTTTTTATAGCACTTAATTTATAAATAAAGTAGTCTGGCGTTTTTCTCTACTGAAAGATTTTGACGCTCAACTCAAGTTGGGTCAGTGAGGTTGCATTTGTACCATTTTTGAAAAATGATTCCGGTGAATCTCACAAAGAAACATCCAGGTCATATTTCACCCCAAAATAAAAAGAAGTTTTATTTGCATAAAGAAAATAAAGCATATTTTTAGGACCATTTAATTATTTATTTTTTTGCATCATGTCATTATTTTCATTGTAATTTCCCTTTAATTTCTTAAAATTGTGATACAAAAACAATCTCATTCACATTACTGTAATACATTTTTATTCTTCCAATTTTTTGATTTTTGATTCTATTTAATCCAACAAATACTATGGTATGGAAGCTTTTTTTCCACCTCTGAATGAAAAACAAAAGAGTAATCTCGCAATTGTGACATTTTTCTCAGAATTGTACGATTTTTTTCAACTTGCAATTGCAAGCTGAAGTCCAGATCTGAGGAAAACAACTCGGCTCATCATTTTCTTACAATTGCGAGTTTCTCACAATTCTGACTTTATAACTCCATAATATAAGTTTTTCATGCAATTCTGAGAAAAAATCCAGAGTTGCAAGATATAAACTCGAAGTCAGAATTGTGAGATAAAAAGTTGCAAATCACCAATTTTTAATTTTTTTTTAAATCCCGTGGTGGAAACGGGCTTCCATACTATGGTTTGTACTTTACAAATGTGCTGTAATTTTTTCACATTACAGTTCTATTTTTTTGCATTACAGTAATTGGGGGAAATGTAATTAATTGACATTAAAATAATGTAAAACAAATTTTTTTTTAATCTAATAATAAAGTTAAAAAATATATAATTTATTTATTTTATGTAAATTTCTTTTAATTTTGGGATGAAATATAACTAGACAGGATTGGAGAGATTCACCGATGACCAGCTGTGTAATTTCAGTGGTTGTTTTCATCACCATGTTAATTCAGGAAAGAGAATTGTGTTGTTTCTTAAACGATGTTGCTGAAGACTGCGTCGATTTGACATAGAGTTTGCAGTGGAGAGAGAAACTCTGTGTTTGTTTGTGAGTGTGTCTGTGTGTAGATTACAACACGAGAATGAAGTCAGACGGGTTACAGCCCTTTGGCTGCTTGTGGCCGCTTATGACAGACAATTAACCGCTAAAGCGCTCTGCCTGCGCCGCCCACCTGGACTTCCTGTTAAATGAGCAATTTCTGCTGCCTTAGTTTGTCTGGAAAGAACCACGTCACACCCAAATTCTCGCTCACCTGAAGGATGTGAAGTCAGACATTTCCCAGACCGCATCATGCATGGAAATTCATGGGAATGTTTTGCCAAATTGTTTTATCAATTGATCTGTTGAGTAGTTGTGAACACTAGTGCCAAGAACACGTAGGTAGAAACGTCAAAGCGTTGCAGAAGATAACTTCTTACTACAAACGGGATCCTCAGAAAATCATATTTTCATAAACTGAGTCTGCATGTTTTGCTTTTTAATCAAATATCTAAATCAATCAGTGATGATAGTCCTAAGTCAAGTCTTACTGTTGTAAGTGACCCTCTCAGCCCTTTCTAGTGAAAGACGTCATCAATGTTTGTTGTAAATATTGGTATATATTGCCTTTCTCTGTACATAGTGCTCTCACAGTCCACGATTGTTCATATGAATCTAATGGCATATTTTTATAAGTATTCTTGTCTATTTTTTTCTCATTTGGCATGTGCGGTCTCATTTAAATTAAAACTATTCCAGTATTTTAAAAGAAGAGAAGAGAAGCCGCTCCGCGTCTGCGGATCCTGTAACAGTCGTCATGCTTATTTCACACCGTTGTCCTATTTTGTCACTGTGGGTTTCTTTGTAATTAAACATTCACTGATGCCAGAATCCAGAGGCTCTGTTAATTCATTTACAAACACGATCTGACCTGTCATCGCAGTCAAATGAGTCACTGTCAGTGCCAGGAAGTTTATGAATTTGTTTTCAAAAATTGTGAGTTGGCACAAAATAAGACTTCAGACTCTTTTGAAAAGGTACATTTTTAAAGAAATGAAATGAGATGATGAAAATTTTGGGTGCCAGAGATGTGTCTGAATAGAATTTTTTTTTTTAAAGTGATATTAAATAATAATATAAAAATTTAGACTCATACTATTTCTCTTGCAGTAACTTTTGGGTATCACAGTTTTATGAAACATCACATTTTAAAAAATCTGATCATTTTATACTGCGCTCTTTTGGCTTCTGCACTTGTTTGAGATTCATCAAAAGCTAGGTGATGATTCACACTTAATAGTTTTAATCACTGCTTTTATTAATCATTTCCTCCAGTATGCGAAGTGTGAATCATCAACTAGTTTAGGATTAAAATAACTTTCAAAAGCTTTTTTCTGTTGTCAATCTAAAATGCATGATTTGGTCACAACAGGCCCAAAGAATTTTAAGGAGGGTAAGACCAATTATGTGTTTAAATGCTGCATTTTTTGGTCATAAATACAATAAAAACAGTACATAAATGTTGAAATATTATTGAAATTTAAAATAACTATTTTCTATTTTAATATATTGTAAAATATAATTTATTCATGTGATCAAAGCTGAATTTTCAGCATCATTACTCCAGTCTTCAGTGTTACTTGATCTCTCAGAAATCATTATTATTACACTAATATGCTGATTTTGCTGATTATAAATGTTGAAAATGAACAGTATTTATTTGAAATAGAAATCTTTGTATGATTATAAATCACTATACTGTCACTTTGGATCAGTTTAATTCATATCCTTGCTGAATGAAAGAATTTATATAAAAAACAGTGCTTGTGTTGCTGGTGTGTCAGCAGCTCGTGGTTCTGAATGACTGTCTGATATTCATACAATCAAAATGAAACACACAAGACCAATTCACATCATCTCACAGCGAACTAGTTGTTCGAGGGCACAAAGAAAGCTTTATAATGTCATGCAATTAATGTTCATCGCCTGACCCTGCAGTTCATGGTTTGTGTGAGAGATCTGGTTTTATTCTGATTCAGTGCTGTTGGCATATGAGAAACCAAAGAATGCTGCAGCCTACATGAGCTCTGTCTCAGAGTAACCATGAACACTCATTCAATTAAAGAGGTTTCTACTGAAGCATCAGTTACGCTGAATATGCAACAAAAAAAAAGTTTGAATAATCATGTGCATCCTGTACCAGTGAGGAAGGGGAACACAGTTAGGGCCATATAGACTGATTAAGATTATGAATTATGCCAAAAAATTATATATATATATATAATTAGTATAATTATATAATTAGGTCTTTACCATCTTGTTTATTCAACAAAACAGGCAACAAAATAACTTTTGAATCATCCATTGCTTTAATGTTTTAATGGTTTTCAGCAGTTTAGATTGAACACTTATGTTGGGTTATTATTAAATAGAAGCTGAAAAAATTTCAAATATAATATATACTTTAATCTGCAGCTGTTCGGTTGGTTAAAGGGGTCATATGATGTTGCTAAAAAGAACATTATTTCGTGGCTGACTCTTAACTTTTATAAAGAATATCTCTTTGGATTTGAGACTTTAGTCTTTGCAACTTTACAGATCTTCTTTATGCACCAAGAGCTTGTAACACTCCAAAGAGAAAGGAAAAATTGAAATTGCATCATATGACCCCTTTAAGATGTTTGAACCTATAAGCAATTATAAATGTTGTGTTAATTTAACTGTGCTATCACATTTTAAAGGCAGGTGGGTTTACATGTACTTCATAAGCTTGACATTAATGTTTAGATCTTTAATTGAATGCATACTTCATTGGATGGCTGCTTTTTAGTTTGTGTCACTTCAACCATCTGGTTTATTCAAATGAATTCAGAGTGAAATCACTAAAGTAACTATAATTTTCAGTGATGAATTTGCTTGTTTTAGCTGTAGGGTTCGTTGTTGAAACGCACCTGGAATAACAAGAAATTAGTGTGAGATTGTGTTAAACTGCCCTGCAGCATGTGTTTATGCTGCATGAGTGCATTCCACACATACAGCGCTGCATGGAGAAACAGAAACATGCAAAGCTGAAAGAGTAGAACATATGTAGACACTATTTAGATGAAATATAAGGTGAGACGTTTGCTTTCATATTTACCCCACATGCCACAGAGAGAGAGATATTTTTCCCGTTTCTGCATTATTTTACTTTAGGTTATCATGCTAAATGAATGCCATTTCATTATCAACACCAGTGTCTTATAAAGATCAACTAAAATTCTAGATGAGGTTGTTTATTCATCAGAACATATTTAGAGAAATTTAGCATTAGAAGTGAATCCGCTGATTAAAAAGACATTAATTGATGGACTGGAGTGGTGTGGATTTCTTGTGGATTATTGTGATGTTTTTATCAGCTGTTTGGACTCTCATTCTGACGGCACCCATTCACTGCAGAGCATCCATTGCTGAGCAAGTGATGCAATGCTAAATGTCTCCAAATCTGTTCCCATAAAGAATCTAACTCATCTATATCTTGGATGGCCTGAGGGTATGTACATTTTCAGCAAATTTTCATTTTAGGGTTCCTTTAAAATGTCCTTTAAGTGTGAATACAATTTTATTTTTTCGGGATTTTTAAAGGGGTCATATGATGCGATTTCAATTTTTCCTTTCTCTTTGGAGTGTTACAAGCTCTTGGTGCATAAAGAAGATCTGTAAAGTTGCAAAGACTAAATGTAATATTACTTGACACTGTTTTGACAATGCAATGCGGTAAATCTTCACAGGAATGAACAGAGTGCGAGACAGAGGGCGCGCGCGAGGTGAAGCTCATATTACACGCGCTGTGACGTGCTGCTCTCAGTTCTCAGTGACTCGGTTCAGATGTTGGATCGCTCTGCTCATCTCTGCGGTTCTGTCTCTCTCCCTCTCTTTGTGTAGCCTAATTATAGACCACGCATCCGACATATGATGATTATAGGACACTTATGATTTCACAGTAAAACAGGTAAGATAAAATACGAACTTTATTCACGGTGTGAAAGAGTTTATTAACAGATGGGGACAGTTGCGGTGCGGATGCGGCATCTTTTCAGTTACTTATGAAGTCGGTAGTGTGTACTGCGTACTCAGACGAGTGTGGATATACTGTACTGAGCTGTACTTCAATACATTTTGCCGATAGTTCTACTGAACCGTTTCACACAGGAGACAATAGAAATGCGTTGAGTTGGTGTTTCCTGATAGGCTTATGCACTATGAAGCTCTCATTCACTTCAAGGGCTGTGAAACTGTCTGTAACTTTTTTTTAAACACTCTGATATGATTATTATATGTAAATATAAGTTATAAGTGACGTTCGATGTACAAATAATGATTATGAAATCATTACTTTTATCTTACTTCTTTTGATTATGATTAGAATTCCTCCTTTAAAGACAAATATTATATTACACTCTATATTGCTAAACTGATGATTCAGTGTTGATTCATATATTTTAATAATTACATATATGCATATTTGAATGCACATAATATTTAAGTGAAAAATGGGCCATGTACCATTATCTTTTTTTGACAAAATTCTATTGATTTTCCATTTATTGGTTTCTAAAACAATTTTTTTAACCACCAATATCACTGGAAAAGAAGGGAACTAAACAATGATAAACATTCTGAAAGCTGTATAAATGTATTGTAATATTATTTTATTATCCAAAAATGAGTTTATTATTACAGCAATAACAAAAGCTGTACTGTTGTCACAAACTGTGATTACTAAAGTGCATAGTGGTAAAGGGAATCACTGATCTGTTAAGTATTATTAAGTGTAATTTGTATATATTCATTATGAAGTGTTACCCGAACATAAGATTATGATTGCAAATACATGAACTATTGTTTGAAAACCCATAAATAAGTACATTTTGCTATTGCGGCAAAATGACATTGGTATTACAGGAACATTGTGTTTTACTGTAGCCTATGTTGTGAACTTACCAACAGCCTTTATGGAGGGTCTATAAACATCTCTTATCTCCTGCAATTTCCACCGAATCTGATATATGAGAGCAGAATGAGGAACAGCATTTATTGGTTTTATGAAACTAAGTGTAACACACTAATATATTACCATCATTTACCTGCTGTCATTGTGTCATCCACTTCAGCTCTTTAAATCATTCAGGGATCACAAATTGTTCTGCTCTTTTCCAGTGAACTCCGTTCACTAAGAGAAGGCAGTGAGCGGATTTAAATACAGCTCATCATAATGTGGGCAGCTTCACACACACACACACACACACAAACAATTTGGCTCCAGACTTTGGCACGCATTGCGCCAGCTGCGGTTTATACCAGCTGGAAACATGTTTGTACTGCATGCATAATTTATGGTCTGCACTATAAACAAAAATGCTGTGTTATAAAACATTGTATAACATGTATGTGTCAGCCTATAGGCACCAGAGCATGTTGGATAAATCCCCAAATTCCTATTTAAAAGACTTTAAGTTACAAGGCACCACCCTTGCCGTTATAATTAACATCTTTTGTTAACCCTCCATGAATATTATAGTGATACGCAGCATTGGCACACAGTCTGGACTATAATAAAGCAGGATGTAATTGCCACGTCTTCATAGTTTGACTTTTTTCACAGGCATTAACAAAATGCCTAAACGTGTTTTATGCTCACGTTTGAAATAAATATGCACTATTATTACCGTTCAGCATTACCTGCTTTATGAGCCACACAAATGCTTTAGTAACTTTAAGGCTTATAAAGCAGTGTGATTGAATGCATGACTCTAATACAAGCAATGTTTGTCATGGGACAGGCCAGCAGACTCACTCTAATATATTTGGCACATCTGAATTGAGATTTTTTGACTCATCAGCATGAAGTCTGTACCAGTTTATATACTTTACAACTTTTAATCCACCTTTAATTCCGATCCACCCTACTGTACATGGAAAGGCATTAGAGGCAGAATATGTAAAATACTTGGTTTATCTGCATAAATCCAGTCAGTCTGTTTAGAATTGATGATTTCAGCTAGCTATTAGGATTTATGTGTGCAATGTGCATTAGGCATTAATAAACAGACTGCTAATCAGTGTCTTTACACAGCCGAGTTAAGGCTGCTCTGTACCTGCCCAAAATTCAGCATAAAAACACAATGCTACATAAAAGACAGATTAAATTATGCCTGCTCAGACCCCCCTCAGCCCCTAATATCATAATTGCGGTGTAAGTGCGTTTATGCCACCTTTGAGTGGCATTAAACGGTGTGTTATGGCAGTGGTTCCCAACCCTGGTCCTGGAGGCACCCCAACACTGCACGTTTTGCATGTCTCCTTAATCAAACACACCTGATTCAGGTCATCAGCTCATTAGTAGAGACTCCAAGACCTGAAACTGGCATGTCAGAGAAAGGAGACATGCTAAATGTGCAGTGTTGGGGTGCCTCCAGGACCAGGGTTGGGATCCACTGTGTTATAGCACCTCAGAAGTGTTTCTATGCCACCTTTGCAGTAAAATGTTGGCGTTATAGGCATCTTTGCACAGCTAACACCAAATTTACACTGCAAAGGTGACACAGAAGCACTCAGAAGCATTTAGGTGTCTTTACACCGACTGCGTAATGCTGCTCAGAGGTGGCATGAATGCATTTACAAAGCAGTTACAACTTTATACAGTACTTTGATACTAGGGGCTGAGGTGGTTCAGAGCAGGCATAATTTAGTCTGGCTTTTATGTGGCATTGTATCTTTATACTGAATTTTGAGCAGGCACAGACCAGCCTTAACTCAACTGTGAAAAGACAACTTAAGTTAAGGCTGCTCTGTGCCTGCTCAGAAATCTGTGTAAAGCAAAATCCAGCCAAAAGGATGATTAAATCATGCCTGCTCTGACACAACTTAGCCCCTATAAAAGTATACCATTAAAATTGCAGTGTAAATGCATTCATGCCACCTCTGAGCAACACTGACATTTTGTGTTAAGATACCTAATTGCCACTTACTGTAGGAGGTGCTTCTGTGCCACCTTTACAGTGAAAATGGCATTGTGTTAAGATTGAGTTGTGCCAAATTTGCACTGCAGTGGAAGTGAAGTGAAGTGGCACAGAAATACTTCTGAAGTAACATTTAAGTATCTTTCTTTCCACAGACTGTTTAATGCTGCTCATAGGTGGCATACATTTATTTACACAGCAATTACAGCTGTATACTTTGATACTACAGCTGAAGGGGTTCCGAGCAGGCACAATTTAGTCAGCCTTTTTTCTGATATTGCATCTTTACAATGAATTTTGTGCAGGCACAGACCAGCCTTAACTTGACTGTGTAAAGATGCCTTTAGTTTATGCAGCTCACAGATTCAAACCCATAAATAAGAGTTTCTCACTGTGGTAGATCCTCTAAACTAGCATGATTAATAATTAAGAGAATTTGAGGCCCACTGGAGAATTCAGCAATCTGTTCAGACAGATTAATCTGCACAAGTGCCAGACTGTGGCAGAATGTTTCCATATGAACGAGACTTGTGTTCATGTGTTCGCATAGCTGTCTGTGCATTTTTCACATGCTTGCATAATTTTGTTTTGATAGAGTTTGTTTGATCATCCTAATTCTGTGACTCTGCTGTGCTGTCCAAACAAAAACCAATTCTGCCCGGAAGCTTGAGAGGTCTTGCTAGGTCTGTTATCTGTAATTACCCATGCTCTTTGCTTGACCCCTACTGGAGCGACAGCACCAATTCAGAGTTTTGAAGTGGGAGTTTGGTTGGCAGGAGTCTTTGTGCTCTGACATTGGGCACACTCCTCTGAAATTATGAAGCAAACGTCTGGGCAGATTCCAAACCCTCCACGGCTGGATGCAGGAATCAATGGTTTAATTAAAGCTTTATTATTTGTCTTGGTGGGACGTTTCACCAGAAACAACCAAATCTACTGTATACTTTTCCCTCTCTCGCGTGCAGACATCTACCTGCGTTGGCTGCCGCGTCCGTGTTGACCTCTGCGTGGTTTGGGCGCTGCTGGTACACCGACCGTTCTGACCTCAGATCAGCAGGGATTTACTCTGTGTGCCTGTGGCTTCTGCTGACTCCACTACTGTGATACATTGAGTTGTGTGACTGAACATTGAAGGCACATCATGAGAATAATCTTAATATTATTCACAAGAGATATTCTGTGTGAATTAAGAAATTGTGAAATTGCTGTTTTGAAACATTATTTGCAACTTGTTTGATATGAAGCTCAAGATGATTCAGTGATTCTTTTATGGTCAAAAAGATATGTAGGCAGTAGGCACATATTACTGTTTATTATGGGTTTTTTGTCTTCCTATTAAATCAATAAGAGTGTTTCTGGTTATTTGAATGTGTTCCAGTTCAGTTTGTTGTGGCTATATTTAGCTAAAAAAAAACATAAAATTAATCAGAATTTAAGTGTAATTTGCATTCAACAGTGCTAAAAATTAGTTTGTCTCTCGTGTCTGAAAAAGTTTTTTCTTGCTTCTGCATCTTGAATTGTTGACCCAAGAAGTCCTGAGTGATTCAGTCTGATATGTGAGCGAATGGAGTCAGTGTTTTTTTTTTATTCAAGAACTGCTCTTGCCAATTCAGTTCGATTAGTGAACGAGTCATTCTTGGTTCAATGAGTCAGGGTTTTTGATGATTTTTGCTCTGACCAGTTCAGTCTGATGAGTGAAAAAATCATGGTCGGTGGGTTGTTGTTTCGAGAACTGCTCTGGGGGATTCAGTCTAATTTGTGAATGAATTATTCTTAGTTTAAGGACCCAGTGGGTTGTTCATTTAAGAACAGCTCTAAACGATTCAGTTTGTTTGTGAAAGAACGTCTCAGGTTACTTATGTAACCATGGTTCCCTGAGTAGGGAACGAGACACTGCGTCCTCTAGGGGTCGTCTTGATTCAGTGAGTCAGTGGAATGTTGATATAAAAAACTGCTCTGAGCGATTCAGTCTTATTTGTGAATGAATCAT